TTTGGCCTTGGAAGTGGCGAAGTCCAAACAAGCTGTACGCCTAAAGTCGGATCGATCTCTGCAGACAGGTGGTCAACGACCTCGAGCCCAACAAGAAGACACTGATAGCGGCTCTGACTCGTTATCCCCGGAGCCCAGGAAGAAGGGGCAACCTGAAACTACCAGTTCTTCTGAAGAAAGTCCCCGTATAAGGTACAAGCGAAGAATGCACAGTTCAGACGAAGATCAACATGATCCCTTCGTACGATGGATTACAAAGGCGATGCTACCCAAGAAATTCAAAACACCGCCATTCACCTTATACGACGGCAAATCAGACCCCACCGACCACATCCGCCACTATAAGCAAGCCATGACATTACATGCAGATGACGAGGCCCTCATGTGCCAAATATTCCCCAGCAGTTTGGGACCATTGGCCGTCAGGTGGTATTATAAACTGGAGCCAGCTTCGATCAAAACGTTCCACCAATTACAGAAATCCTTCAGGGCAGATTCATCACTAACGAGGTCCAGCCGAAACAAGCCCACTCTCTCTGGGCAATGCAGATCCAGCCGGGAGAAACACTAAGGGCGTATTCGGCACGATATTGGGAGTGCTTTAATCTTGTTGATGATGCTTGTAATGACTCAATGGCCATCACCGCCTTCAAAATGGGATTACACCCAAACAGTGCCCTTTGCAGCTCCCTGACAAGAAGGCCCCTAAAAAAAGTCTGGGCATTGATGAAGAAAGTTGAGGAATACTGCAAAGTGGAAGACGACGCCTTGCGGGTTATAACTGGACAAATGGCCAACAAAATGGCCCCTCCTAAAATTGCTCAGCCAATAAGTTTCGTACCACCTTAGAGTCCTGAACCACGACAACGAGCTAAACGAGACAAAAAACGGGATTCTCGTCGATCAAGCGATCAATGCTCACACTAAGCAAATGAACAACTGCAGGTCGATAGCAAGCGCACAAAGCATGCTGACAAGAAATATACGGAGATGTCAGAGCCAATCAGCTCGGTTATGTCCAAAATCCAATATCTTTCGTTCTTCAAATGGCCGTCCAAAATGGTTGGACCCCCTGACACGAGAAGACGGGACAGGCGGTGTGAATATCACAAAGATCACGGTCATGATACGGACAGTTGCTATGCTTTGAAAGACCACATTGAGGGTTTGGTCCAAGATGGTCGCCTCCAGCAGTATGTCCGAAAGAGCGCAGTCAAAACAGTTGCCCTTCGGCAAGACTCACCTTCGCTCGGCGTTATTCATATGATATACAGCCTTCCAACGGCACGTACCGTACACGCAATTCAGTCAGGCCCCCAGAGGCAACGCATACCAACAAAACAGCCCCACGAAGCTCAGAGTATTGTCTTCGACAATTCCGATGTTATCGGCATAACACTCCCCCATATTGATCCATTGGTCATTGAACTACACGTAAACCGAATTACCGTTGAACGCGTCCTCATAGACCAGGGGAGCACTTCGGAGGTTATGTATTACGAGACCTTCATCAAACTCAGCTTCAACAAATTAGACCTGTCTCCAGCTCCTCATCCATAATTCAGCTTTAACACAAATGTAGAGTACCCGTTGGGGTAAATCACACTTCCCGTTCGAGTGGGCTCCCAAACAGTGGATGTGGAATTTTTGGTCGTCAAGCTCCCTTCGCTGTATATCTCATCATGGGGTAAACTTGGTTGCATCATATTCAGGCCATGCCAAGCACCTATCATCAGCTGCTACGCTTCCTGACCAAACACGGCATTGAGCAGATCCGTGGTTCCCGGCAATCCGCACAAGCATGTTATCTCCTTTCTGGAAAGACACCAACGGAGTCACAAGTCAACTCCACTGAAGTGCCGAATCGAAACAACCTCGACGAAGTCGGCCGGCTCCCTAGCGAAAAGCCACGGAAGCTCTAGGCGATACCAGCGGCAGCTTGCCAAGACGTATGATCAATGCATTCAGCCGCGCCGCTATACGCCGGGAAAGTTGCTCCTAAAGGTATTTCTGGATGATAGGAGACCGGTTGATGGAAAATTAGGTATGCAGCGTTGCTCCCGAAGCACTCACAAAAATTCTGTCATCAAACCAGACTTGTGGGGAATGATCCTAGTTCTAAAAGATTCACCATGTACACATTCCACCTTTGTAATGGAAGGATTCTTGTTCAGAAGCTGGATTCTTATGTAAAATAGCGCTCCGATGAAAAAGCCTCCGGATTCGGAGCGCCCTTCGTGGATATCACGATTGGCCAAACTAAGTCTCCGGATTCGGAGCCCTATCGGCGCATGACGTCTTTGGGCCGCTTAAGCCTCCGGCTTCGGAGCGCCCTTCGTGGATATCACGATTGGCCAAACTAAGTCTCCGGATTCGGAGCCCCATCGGCGTATGACGTCTTTGGGCCGATTAAGCCTTCGAATTCAGAGCGCCCTTCGTGGATATCACGATTGGCCAAACTAAGTCTCTGGATTCGAAGCCCCATCAGCGTATAACGTCTTTGGGCCGATTAAGCCTCCGGATTCGGAGCGCCCTTCGTGGATATCACGATTGGCCAAAATAAGCCTTCAGATTCGGAACGCCCTTCGTGGATATCACGATTGGCCAAACTAAGTCTCCGGATTCGGAGCTCCATCGGCGCATGACGTCTTTGGGCCGATTAAGCCTCCAGATTCGGAGCGCCCTTCGTGGATATCACAATTGGCCAAAATAAGCCTCTGGATTCGGAGCACCCTTCGTAGATATCACGATTGGCCAAACTAAGTCTCCGGATTCAGAGCCCCATCGACGCATGACGTCTTTGGGCCGATTAAGCCTCCGGATTCGGAGCGCCCTTCGTGGATATCACAATTGGCCAAGCTAAGTCTTCGGATTTGGAGCCCCATCGGCGCATGACGTCTTTGGGTCGATTAAGCCTCCGGATTCGGAGCGCCTTTCGTGGATATCACGATTGGCCAAACTAAGTCTCCGGATTCGGACCCCTATCGACGCATGACGTCTTTGGGCCGATTAAGCCTTCGGATTCGGAGGGCCTTCCGTGGATATCACGATTGACCAAAATAAGCCTCCGGATTCGGAGCGCCCTTCGTGGATATCACGATTGGCCAAACTAAGTCTCTGGATTCGGAGCCCCATCGGTGCATGACGTCTTTGGGCCGATTAAGCCTCCAAATTTGAAGCGCCCTTTGTGGATATCACGATTGGCCAAACTAAGTCTCCAGATTCGGAGCCCTATCGGCGTATGACGTCTTTGGGCCGATTAAGCCTCCGGATTCGGAGCCCCATTGGCGCATGACGTCTTTGGGCCGAAAAAACCTCCGAATTCGGTGTCTCATCGGCATAGGACATCTTTGGCCAATAAAGCTTCCAAGCTTAAGGGCCGAGTAGTATTCCGAATTCGGAGCGCCCTCCAGAATGAAAACATTTACACATCAAGGCAGGGATATGTAGGTTGAGCCAGTACAACCACATGAACAAGACAAAACGCACTAGCATTCAAAATAAGATGCTTAATTAAGCATATAAAAATTCAGAATAAGAAAAACTTTTAAAATAAAACATTTTATTCAATTAAACAGTAATTACAAAAACGCAATCTGCGTTCGAAGTATTACAATATCTATTTTCATACGGCGTCGCATTGGTACAGCAGCAGCGCCGAATCAACGCCTGCTAATCGGAGAGCATCCGCAACTTGAAATGCCTTGATCTGACCATGCTTGAATCCACGATGTTCACACCGGCGAGACAATCACTCTCGAGGTGGAGAGCTTCGACACCATAGACAATGTCAAGGCCAAGATACAGGATAAGAAAGGAATTCCTCACGAAAATAGTAATACTCAACGGTCGCAGCGCTACGTCGGCCTCATTTCTCGGTGACGGTTGCGGAGAACTCCCCCATTGCTATTTCTCCCTTTGGGCTGATCTGCTTCGACGACTTATGGGCTGACGCAATTTTTTCATTTTTTGAACGCCCTAACTCTCGCGCAAGTGGGTTCTCTACTGTGATTCATTGCAATGTCAAGCTCAGTCAAAGTCGAAGTTTCTCCTCTGCTGTTGAAGAAAACTCCATTTGACATTCACACTTATCTAACCCTACGCAACAAAATTGTTTTAAATCGAGTCTGAACACAATAAGCGAAGTTACTAGAGCGAAAAGTCCGAGGCAATTTATTTCTAAATGCTTACAGCGACCCCGAGGCGATTTCATTAACGCAACCCCAAAAGACAAACGCCGAGCGATATTGGCCACAGCCACTCCACGTACTAATTTTTGGCTTTTTTGGAATTAAAATGGCCTAATTATATAAACGGCAATTTTAGATGGGCTGACTGTCTCCGGATTCAGAGCCCCAAGTGCATGACACCTTTGCGCTGGTTACGCCTCCGAATTCGAAGCCTCATTGGCGCAATGGACCGTGTGTGACATGCCAAATATATATTTAATGAAGAATATTCATGACAAGCCGGCATATAATCGTTCGGAATTAAAATGCCTAGTTGACTCTGGCCAGTCAATGTTTATACAATGAAACACATGCAAACACGTGTACCGAATGCAAATCACAATGAAACATTTTATTCAATCAGACAATAATTACATAGTTATAAACGCGATCTGCGTTCGAACGTTACATTGAGTGTTTTTACACGACGTCGCCCTCATCCTCACTCTACTCAACTTCAAAGGCGGAAAACAAAAAATGGTTACGCTAGTACAGTGGCAATGTCGAGTCGACGCCCGCTGCTCGGAGAGCTTTTTCGGCCTGAAGCACCTTGATCAAACCATGCTTAAATCCACGATTTTCACATTGGCAAACTTTCTCAGTGAGCTTCTCATTGGTCTTCTGTATCCCTACTTTTCGGCCTTCATGGAAGCCTTGTTCATAGGCCCTCCCCTTCGCGAATTCTATCGCGAATATGCTCGCCGTATCGCGATTGGCGAGTGCGGTACTGATAAGTCGCTGGGTGACCCTTTCTTCCACGATTGGGTTACCCTATCCGACGGGTTGTGCCTCAATGGCCTTGACCTCCTTTAGCTCACGCTCAGCCGCCTCCGCACGAGCCTCTAAGCTTCGGATGCGTTCATCCCTCTTCTCTATCTCTCGGTGGGCAGCACGGAGACGCATGTCGATTTCATAGGCAGTGTAGAGCCCCTTCATCGCACTGTGAATGCCTTCACGAAACACTTCGAAGTCCTGTCGACCTACCATCGACTGCTGGACCTCGGGAGGAAAAATTTGTCAAGAAAATTCGACTGCCACACTTAAATCTTGAACGATCGAGTCCGCATCTGTCATGGGTCTATTCCCCACAAAGACTGTAAAACTCAGTGGGCGTGGGTTCGCACCAGGCTCCCTTCCAGAACGGGGTTGCGGGAATTTTCCTTGTGGCTCCTTGTTCCTCCTAGGCGACCTACTTCAACGACGAGGAGATTCACGTCTCTCCCGATCTTTCGAAATCCTCCCTCCCGCACGCGAAGGTTCGTCACTTCGATTTATGTCTCCTCCTAGCTCAGCTAGCATCCTCGCTTCCCCTTTACTGTTAAAAAAGAGTTTATTTGACATTCACGCTTGTTTATTCTTCATCAAAGACGTGGACTGAGTTGCTCACTGAGCACATAGATAGAACCTTCATTCATTTGTTCCCTATGAGGGCAGCGTCACCAAGGCAATCTCATTAACAGCCCGGCGCCAACCGAGTCGTGCCCCCATCAAACACTGTTATTCGGCAGTCTTAACTTCTGGAAGGGCAGATTCATCAATCTATTCAGCTTAAGTGCCGCAGCCGCTTCACGAATTGACTCGTCAATATTGTCTGATTCGGCGTTTAACGTTGATGAACCAGCTGGGGCAATGGCAGATTCATCAATCTATTCGGCTTGAGTGCCGCAGCCGCTTCACGAATCGACTCCTCAATATTGTCTGATTCGGCGTTTAATGTTCATGAACTAGTTGGGGCAAGGGCAGATTCATCAATCTATTCGGCTTAAGTACCGCAACCGCTTCACGAATTGACTTGTCAATATTGTCTGATTCGGCATTTAACGTTCATGAACCAGTTAGGGCAAGGGCAGATTCATTAATCTATTCGGCTTAAGTGTCGCAGCCGCTTCACGAATCGACTCGTCAATATTGTCTGATTCAGCGTTTAACGTTCATGAACCAGCTGGGACAAGGGCAGATTCATCAATCTATTCGGCTTGAGTGCAGCAGCCGCTTCATGAATCGACTCCTCAATATTGTCTGATTCGGCATTTAACGTTCATGAACCAGTTGGGGCAAGGGCAGATTCATCAATCTATTCGGCTTGAGTGCCACAGCCGCTTCACGAATCGACTCGTCAATATTGTCTGATTTGGCATTTAACGTTCATGAACTAGCTGGGGCAAGGGCAGATTCATCAATCTATTCGGCTTGAGTGCCACAGCCGCTTCTCGAATCGACTTCTCAATATTGTCTGATTCAGCGTTTAACGTTCATGAACCAGCTGGGGTGAGGGCAAATTCATCAATCTATTCAGCTTGAGTGCCGTAGCCGCTTCACGAATCGATTTACAAGTCCTATTCGGCACCAAGAATCGACTTACTCGTTCGGATAAATCAAAGTTTAAACTAATATAATTGCCAAGATTACACTGCAATCCAATTGATAGTTAGAAGGCACAACAGACAATAATCATTTTATCCAAAGTAGTGGAAGGCAAAACTCTTCATTAATATCAAAAACTGCGTACAAGTAATAGTGAAACGGGAAGGAAATTTTCATTAATAAATTGAGCGCAGATAGTAACTAATTTATACATGAAAATTACCTTGAACTGACAAGAATCTACTAAACAAAAACATACATTGAAATTGAAGATACCTAATAAAACTAGAATGTCTCCCAGATCAATCATCGGGATCAGACTCAAGTGGCTCAACGTCCACTTGCTTATATGGAATTGGCAAGGCCAATGTAACTCCAGCGGCAGCAAGGGCTTTGAGCCATCCGTGTTTGAAACCCCGATTCTTGAATTTGGGGACCTCATCTACATATTCCTTCAAGGCGGCGTTCTTCCCAGCCTCTAGCGTCGTAGAAGCTTCAGATACGGCTTTTTCCTTGGCCGCCTTCAATTTTTCTAACTCGGCCTCTGCCTTGGAAAATGCCTCCTGGGCTAACTTGAGCGACTCCTCGCTCGTGTTCACCCTATCCTTGGCTTTAGATCTGAGCCGGTCAACAGTCCGAGCCCTCTCCTTTTCAGCTTGGGCTCGAGCACTTTCCATCGCGGCTCTCATCGCCTCGAACTCGACCCTGCTTCTTTCACCTTCAGCTTCAAACTTTAAACGGCCAATTCTTTCAATGACATTACGCTGCCGGCGGCCTAGTTCAGCTATCCTTCTAACCATCTGCAAAACAAGTTTGGATCACCACACCAAGCAATATCGTATGCAAACGAAACCAAACGAGCAAAAAAGAAAGTATCGTATACATACCAGAAGGGACGATTGGGCAGCGAACGCTATAGCTACCAAATCCGGCTCTTCTCGAAAGGTGGCCTTGTCAGCCGGTAGCGAAACTGAGGCGGCCAAGCTCAATGCCACGGCTGGATCCTTCATGGCAGATGTGTCAGAGGAGATTGGCATGTCTTTGATCTTTGGTTGAACAACAAAAGGGACAACCACGTCGGACTCCTCTAAGCGAGGCCGTTTGTCAGCAAGGCTATCCTTTGAGCCGGCCTCTCTTTCGGTGGAACATTTTTCGCCTTGCTCTTTTGAAACCAGCCGTTCTTCCGTAACCTGCTGTTCAGCCCCCTCCATCTCAGCCACAACAACTCGAGCCGTTTCTTCTCCAGTAACCGGTTGTAAAGATTCAACCGGGGCAGGCTCAGAATGGGCGGCCTCGGCTTTCTTTCGGACGGCCATTCGCTTGGCATTTCTCTTTCTTGCCATATGCGTGAGATTTTCCCCAGCCATGCCTTCAGAAAAAGTGCTAGGTAGATCTCCCAAGTTTGTAAAAATATATCCGAAGAAAAACTCTGCCCGACCCGAAGTGGACGGAGAGTTAGGTTGGTTAAGACCGGCTGCCGCAAATGCTGATTTCAGAGCTTCGTCGACCTCTTCGACCTCCGCAGCAAACACCTTCGTTGATTCGGCAACTGCTTCAACCACCGGCTTTAAGTCTTGCTCCGAATCAGAAGCTTCGAGACCAATTTGCCTAAGGGCCTTGAAGCTGGGAAAGACAAGAGCCATAAGGTGTTGTTCGCCGGTTGGGATCGGAATATCGTCCGCGGCCAAGAATGTAGTATAGGTAGGCTCGTACCGCAGGAGAATATGGGCGGCTCTCCCTTGCTTATGTACGTTTGGACGGCCAAAGTACTTTAGTGCAATCTTAATTTCCGCGAGGACTTCGTCGTCAGCCGAGGTTAGAATCCTCTTCAACTTATTGCTTGTAAAAACAAAGGGTTAGACTCTGAGAAAAAGCCGAATAAAAGAAAGATTAACAAACAGGGAATTATACGGTAACCTGGTTCACCCCTCCGTTTGGGAATAGGGTCTAGGCGATCTTCGCCTTCGCCGAATTCCCAGTTGCCTCGGACATTGACCATTACATCATCAACTCGTTTGCCAGAGCTGGCAAGCAACGTTACCAAGTGATGGTCGGTGTCCTTAGCCTTGAGAAAATAGTGCTCGAGCCGACCAGAGGAATTGGCTAAAGCGTAGCAGTGCCGAATCGCCAGAATGCCAAGATTGATCCCGAGACGTCAGTTCAACTCTATGATTCCCATTATAATTCGAAAAAAATCCACATTGGGTTACGAAGGAATCAAACCCCAATAGCGGAGGACGGCCCTAAAAAATGGGTGTAGGGGAAAGTGAACTCCACCCTCTACAATGGATAGGAGAGGAAAGACGATTGTGTTTTGGTCGTCCCTCTCCATATCAAGGGTATTGTCCGTTACTAGAGATAGATGGACATCATCGGGAATAGAAAAATGTCTTCGGAACCCAGAAATTCGACCCTCAGAAAGGGGGTTTTTCAAATGCTTAGCCATCCTAGTAAGGACCCAAGGATATTCTAAAATCAAAGATAAATACGGAAAATAGGGTTGCAAAGCGAAGAGAAGAAAACTTACGAAAGGCAAAGGAGAAGACGGAGAAGAGTCGCAGAATACGCGTTGGAGAAGATACACTGACTGGCAATCCAGGAGGTTCAAATATTCGAAAAAGCATGCATTCAAAGGGCTGAAGTTTTAAATCGTAATAAATGCGAGAGAAGCATGAATGAGGCGGGAAAGCGTTACAGTGACCAAAAAGCATGTACGTGTTCTGATGCGCATCGGGAAGAGGGTTAACCGCCGAATTTTTGACTGCCCAGACTAGAAGCCAAACACGCCGACTAACTGATACTAGTGGGGTGTTTGGGGGGCAATTGTGGGGGCTGAAGAATTAGGAGTCGTAGAGATTCCGAATAGTCGAATCTGGGAGAGTCGAGATTCGAAGCACTCGGCAATTGGCTCGAAAACTCAAATCCAACCCTACTTGGCCAAATAACCGATTAAGCAAGGGGCCGAGTGAAGATCGGTCTATTATAAAATGTACCGAATATGAGGTGGGAAATGGACCTAATCCTGAAGCCCAAAGAAGAAAAGATATAAATAGAAGAAACATCAGCCAGAAGGAGATATGTGAGAATTGTTGTGCTAAACATAGAATACAAGTATTCTTGAGTGTGGAGACTGACATAGAATACAAGTATTCTTGAGTGTGGAGACTGACTTGTCCTTCGGAGTGCTAATTCTGACACCCCCGACCGGAGTGTTTATTCATTTTCAGGTGACTATCAGCGGATCATAAGCTCTCCCCAGGATCAGAAGAGTATTTCCAAATCACTTCTCCACACATAATACTTCTAATATGGGAAAAATGATCTATTGGAATATAAGTTCAAATGTATGGGATTAGGAGAAATACAAAATTATTTTGTGGATTTATTGGCCTATAAATGCTCTAAATGAGATTTGTAAATAAATTTCTCTTTTTTTTATATCATAAAAATGAATGCCTTTATATTTTTAACGGTAAATTACACTAACACCCACAGAGGTTCCTGGTTAATACAGATCCCCTCACATTTGAAAAATTACATTCCTCTCCTTGAGGTTTGTAATTTGATTACAAATTGCTCCATGAATTACTGATATCATGCCCCAAAATTTTCTAAATGACTATATTGTCATTTTTTCTACAATTTCTTCTTCCTATCATCATAACTACATTATTCAACTTTCCATCATTAAATTCTATCTGAGCATATTTTTATCAAGTAATGATATACAAACATAAATTTTATATAGAATTTTTAAATGCAATGATATGAGTTAATAGTGACCTTTCTCTTTAAATTAAAATACCCATAAACATAATTTATATTTACAATAATATCACTATGACAATATTTTTATGATATTTTTTGTATAAATTTTTATTTATGAATATAATTTTTCATTTTTATTTCCACCATTATATCTAGATTAGATCAATTTAATTTAGATATATTTAAAAAGTATAAAATTTGTACAAAAAAAATTTGAAAAAAAATCCATTGAATATAACAAAATAAGTTAATGTATTGGATTTTTTAATTTTTTTTTGTATTATTTTTATTTTTTAAAATTTATAAAAATATTAAAAAATTCAGTAAAAATAAAAAAAATACAAAAAAAAAAATAATTTTTTGTCTGAGTTAAACCAAAGAAGATGATTGTTATTTCTTTTGAAATGAAATAAACAAAATATTTACATTATTTTATATGTATAAAGGCTAAGGGACAAATATGCCATTTTAATCTGATAATGAGGCAAGTATAATATTTCAAATGTGATGAGGGGATCTGTACTAAACAAAAACCTTAGGAGGTGTCAGTGTAATTTACCTTTTTTTTTTAAAAAAATGACATTACTTTAATAATTAGAGACCAAAAATGATGTTACATGATTGAATGGATTATATTATGTTAGAGACCCCAAAAATTCTTTAATTCTAGAGACCCCAAAAATTAAAATAGCATTTACTCCAATTCAAAAATGTTAAAGACTCCAAAAATTCTACCAAAAATTTTACCAAATGTCTCACATGGGTGTGAGACCCACATGAGACCCACATTGTGTGGGTTTCACACCCATGTGAAACATTACTCTTTCAATTTTCTATGGTAATGAGGGTAGTTAATATAATTTAATGCATCCTTAACAAGTGCCCTTAATAATGATACAAAGATTATCCAAAAAAAAACTCAGATACCCCTACAAGAATTTTGTTCAAATTTTAAGTTCAACTCTCTCCAAAACTAGTTATTCGAGTGATAGCACAAAACATTGATAGGACGAGTCTTCCAACCTTGGATAAATCATATCTAGTATTAGGAGTTTGGGTTCAAATCTTCATTTATGTGTGAGTCCGCAACTCACCATTATATGATTGAATATGTTATATTATGTAGTATCACTTAAGAGTGACCTCTAAAACCTTAGCTTTCTTAGAATCTAACTCCAGATGTCACTTTTATTTTTTATTTTTTTTTAGGAGGGGAGGTCACCTTTTTTGATTAGGTCTTTTATGTCTTTTGGTTTTGAGTGTTAGCTATGAAGATATGCCTCTATTAATTTGCCAATTGTTATAAAACTAAAGAAATAAAGAAGAAATAGTCATAATGGAAGAGAAAATAAAGAGTTTTTTTTTTCTTCTATATATTCATTATCTTGCAAACTCACCTATTTATAGATAACAAAACTCTCACTATTCACCACACCATGTGGTTACCACACTACCTACATGGTAAAGCTTTCCCTTATTTACACTTTGGCTTAAAACTCATTAGAATTCCAATTATATCTTTTTTGATGGTTATCTAAATATTTCACAACACTCCCTTTTTGATAACCATACACTAAGAATATGCCTTGTTAAAACCTTACCAAGAAAAACCTAGTGGGAAAAAACCTTTGATGAAGGAAAAAGAGTACAATATTTTTGTATGTGATTTGTTTAGATTATTTCATTAAAACCTTACTAAGGAAAATCCAGGGGAAAAAAACTTTAAATGAAGAAAAAAGAGTACAATCTACAAATCTACTAAAATTGATGACTCCCCTTCAATGCTGCATAATAGGTATTTATGTGGACGCATCCCAATATTATGCACCAGTTTCTTGAATGTTACAGTCGGTAATGCTTAAGTAAATAGATTTGTCAGATTATCACTTGAGCATATCTGTTGAACATTAATATCACCATTCTTCTGGAGCTCATGTGTGTAAAAGAATTTTGGTGAAATGTGTTTAGTCTTATCACCTTTGATATAGTCTTCTTTGATCTGTGTGATACACGTAGTATTATCTTCATATAATATCACTGGACTATCTTTTGTTGAAAACAATCCACATTTTTCTTGAATATGATGGATCATGGATTTAAGCCAAATATATTCTTGACTTGCTTTATGAATTACAAGTATTTCTGAGCGATTTAAAAAAGTAGTAGTGAATGTTTGTTTTACTAATCGCCAATATATAGCAGTATACCCATAGGTAAAAACATATCATGTTTGTGATTTGGCTTTATGTGGATTAGAAAGATATCCAACATCTGCATATCCGATTAATCGCGGCTTGGATTTATTTGAATAAAATAAATCCATATCAGTTATTCCATGAAGATAACATAATATTTGCTCTACTTCATTCCAATGCCTTCGAGTTGGTATGGAATTATATCTTGCTAATAAATTGATAGCGAATGCAATATCAAGCTTGGTATAATTTGCAAGATACTTGAGAGCACCAATTGCACTAAGATATGGTACTTCAAGACCAAGGAGTTTTTCATTATCTTCTCGAGGTCGAAATAGATCATTTTTCACATCAAGATCTAACAACCATAGGAGTACTCAAAGAATGAGCTTTACCCATATAAAAGTTCTTTAAGACTTTTTCTATATATGTTGATTGATGTACAAGAATCCCATTTGGCAAATATTCGATTTGTAGGTCGAGACAAAATTTTATTTCGCCAAGATCCTTCATTTCAAATTCTTTTTTTAAATATTCTATAATTTTTGTAAGCTCTTTTAGAGTTCCTACAAGATTCAAATCATCAACATATACTGCAACACTTACAAATTTGAATTTTGATTTCTTAATAAAAATACATGGACAATAGAATCATTTACATATCCTTCTTTCAATAGATA